CCTTGCTCGGGCGGAAGTGGCGCCGCGCGGCCGCTCTGGGACCAATAAAGCCTCGCCTCGATGGTTCCTGTCAATCATTCCCGGGCGGCCAATTGGGAGCGCGAAGGGCGGTGCCACGCGGCGCGTGCGCGGACGCGTCGCGGGGGTGGCGCCCCCTGGCGATGGCGCGGAGCCAAGGTTTGATCAAAATCCTCTTAATTCACCTCAAAGCCGCGCGGGGGGGCCCCATGGCCCCTATAGGGACGGGGGGGGTCCCCTATAGCCCCCGGGAGGGGGGAGCGGCCATAGGGCTCCTATGGGAGCAGGAGTGCCAGTGAGGCCCCAGTAGGGACTGGGGAGGGTCCATATGGCCCCTATAGGGACTGGGGCGCTCCATATGGCCCCTATAGGGACTGGGAGGGTCCATTTGGCCCCTATAGGGACTGGGGAGGGGGTGGGTCCATATGGCCCCTATAGGGACTGGGGGGGAGGGTCCATATGGCCCCTATAGGGACTGGGGTGGGTCCATATGGGCCCTATAGGGATTGGGGGGGGTCAGGTCCATATGGCCCCTGTAGGGACTGGGGGGGGTCAGGTCCATATGGTCCCTATAGGAACTGGGGGGCAGCTGCCCCTATAGCCCCCAGGAGGGGAGCGGCCATATGGCGGCTCTAGGGACCGGGGGGGGGGGGGCACAGGGCCCTATAGAGGGTCCATATGGATCCTATAGCGCCCCAGGGGTTGCTCTATAGGGCCCGGGGTCGCTCGGTGCCATCAGGTGCCCTTGGCCTTGCTGGGAGACCTGCAAGAGAGAGAGACCCTGAGAGGCCCTATGGATCCTATAGGGCCTGGGGGGTCCCTATGGATTCTTTAGGGTCTGGGGGGGCTGGGAGAGCCCTGGGGTTGCCTATGGATCCTGTAGGGCCTGGGGGGTTTCCCTATGGATCCTATAGGGCCCTGGGTGGTTCCTTTAGCATCTGGGAGGGTCCCTATAGATCCTATAGGGCCCAGGGGGGAGGGTCCCTTATGGATTCTATAGGGCCCTGGGCAGTTCCTATGGATTTTACAGGGCCTAGGGGTTCCTTATGGATCCTATATGGCCCCAGGCAGTCCCCTATAGATCCTATATGGCCCTGGGGGGTTCCTGTGGCAGCCAGGAGGGTCCCCATAGATCCCATACAGTCCCCTATGGATACCCTATGGATCCCATACAATGGATCCCATACAGTCCCCATGGATTCTATAGGGCCCCGGGCAGTCCCCTATGGATTCCCATACATTCCCCCATGGATCCCATACATTCCCCTATAGATCCCACACATTCCCCCTATGGATCCCATACATTCTTCTAGGATCCCACACATTCCCTATGGATCCCATACATTCCCCCTATGGATCCCACACATCCCCCATGGATCCATACATTCCCCCATGGATCCCATGGATCCCCCATGGATCCCATACATTCCCCTATGGATCCCATACATTCCCTATAGATCCACACATTCCCCTATGGATCCCATACTATTCTCCTATGGATCCCATACATCCCCTCTGGATCCCATACATTCTCGTATGGATCCCCACACATCCCCCGTGGATCCCATACATTCCCCCATGGATCCCATACATTCCCCATGGATTCTATAGGGCCCCGGGCAGTCCCCTATGGATCCATACATTCCCTATGGATTTTCATACATCCCCTATGGATCCCACACATTCCCTATGGATCCCATACATTCCCCTATGGATCCCACACATTCCCCCATGGATCCCATACATTTCCCCATGGATTCTATGGGGATCCATACATCCCCTATGGATCCCCACACAGTCTCCTATAGATCCCATACATTCCCTATGGATTTCATACATCCCCTATGGATCCCACACAGTCTCTATGGATCCCATACATTCCCTATGGATCCCATACATCTCCTATGGATCCCATACATTTCCCAGCCCGGGTTAGTGTGTTAGTGCCCCCCCCCACACGCGCTTAACCAAATCCTTATTCGCCCCAAGCTCGTTAAAAAACGCGCCCGGCCCCTCCCCCCTACAAAATCTGTACATCGGCCCCTCCCCCACCGGCCGGGGGGGCGGGACAGGGGCGGGGGCTTCCCAAAAGGGGGGGCGGGGGTCCCAATGAGTCCCTCGTTAATTTTCATTAATCTCTGACCTCGTAAACCTCTGACTTCATTGACGTCCCGATCTCATTACCCCGGCTGACCTCATTAACCCAGAGCTCCTTCAGTAACCTCTGACCTCATTAACCTCTGACCTCATTACCCTGCTGACCTCATTAAGCTCCGATCTCATTAACTCCACTGACCTCGTTAACCCAGAACTCCATCAACCCCACTGACCTCATTACCTCTGACCTCATTAACCTCTGACCCTCGTTAACCTCATTAACCTCTGACCCTCGTTAACCCTGCTGACCTCATTAACCTCTGATCTCACTAACCCTGCTGACCTCAATAACCTCATTAACCTCTGACCTCGTTAACCCCTGCTGACCCTCATAACCTCATTAACCTCTGACCTCATTCATCTCCACCTCGACATCCTCCAGCACCCAACGAGCCTTAATGAACCCCCACCAATTAATGAGCATTAACGAGCTCCCCATTCCCTAACGAGCCTTTTGCAGGTCCCTAACGTCTAAAGAGCTGCCCATAATTAATGAGCCTCTGCAGGTCCCTAATGAGCCTTAACGAGTCCCCACCACCCAACACAAGGCCAACATTGGTGTCCCCCCCCCCCGCTGACCCTGGGGACCCCCCCAGCTCCTCCACCATTCTAATGAGGCTAATGAGCCTAACGAGCCCAATTAACCTAATGAGCCCTAATGAGCCCTAACCAAGCCTTAATGAGCTCCAATAAGACTAATGAGCCTTAATGAGGCCTGCCACCTGCTGCCCCTCACCCTGCTGACCCCTGGGGACCCCCAAGCTCCTCACCACACTAATGAGCCCTAATGAAACCAATGAGCTCTAATGAGCCCAACGAGCCTAACGAGCCTTAATGAGCTCTAATTAGCCTAATGAGGCCCTGCCCACCTGCTGACCCCCTCACCTATGGACCCCCTCACCTGCTGACCCTGGGGACCCCCAAGCTCCTCCACCACACTGATGAGCCTAATGAGCCCAACGAGCTTTAATGAGGCTGACGAGCCTAACGAGCCCAACGAGCCTTAGTGAGCTCTGAGGGAGCCTAATGAGCACTTATGAGCTGTAATGAGCCCTAACGAGGTCCTGCCACCTGCTGACCCTCACCTGGGCACCCTCACCTGCTCACCCCTCACCTGGGCACCTTCACCTGGGCACCTTCACCTGGGTCCCCTCACCTGGGCACTGTCACCTGCTGCCCCCCTCACCTGCCATTCCTCACCTGCTGCCCCCCCTCACCTGGGCACCTCCACCTGCTGCCCCCTCACCTGCCGCCCCGCCCCGCTCGTCGCCGGCCCCGTCCATCCCGTCCCTCCCGCCGTCCCCTGCGTCCCGGTGTCCCCCGCGTCCCTCCCTAGGGCCCCACTGACTTGCCGGGGTCCTGCCCGCGGGCGGCGGGCTGCGCCCGGGGCCGCCCGTAGAGCACGACGGCGGCGAGCACCATGGCCGGTGCCGGCCAGGAAGGGCGCGCGCGGCCGGAAGCCGAACAGGTGCGCCGAGGCGGCCGTGGAGGCCAGGATGGAGAGCGCCGTGGCGAAGCCCCTTGAGGATGTTGTCGGCGTAGCGCACCACCACGGCCACCAGCAGCCCGCCGGCCGCCTGGTTCACCACCACGGCCCACACGGCGCCGTTGTAGCCGTAGAAGAAGCCGAGCGCGGCCACGGCGGGGCCCTCGGCGGCCAGCATGGCGCCCAGCCCCCACGGCCGTGCCCACGGCGCCCCAGCTGCACGTTGCGCAGCCAGATGGAGCCGCCCCGAGCGCTTCAGCAGCCGCTCGAAGTAGACGCCGGCGAAGCCCGAGGGACAGGCAGGAGGCGGCCACGGCCGCCCAGCCCCACGGCGTAGCTCTGCGGCGGCCCCTCGGGGCCTGCGGACGGCGGCAGCGCCCCCGGCGCCCGGCACGGCCCGAGCCTGCTCCGCCTGCACCAGCGCCACCCCCCGCGAACAGCAGCGCCAGCGACAGCCACTGCAGCCGCGACAGCGCCGTGCCCAGCAGCAGCACCCGAGAACAGCGCCGTGGTCAGGATCTTCAAGCTGGTACGTCCACCTGCGGGGACAGGGACAAGGGACAGTCACCTACAGGGACAGGGACAGGATCTCCAGCTGGTACGTCACCTGCGGGGACAGGGACAAGGGACAGTCAGCTGGGGACAGGGACAGGATCTCCAGCTGGTACGTCACCTGCGGGGACAGGGACAAGGGACAGTCAGCTGGGGACAGGGACAGGATCTTCAGCTGGTACGTCACCTGCGGGGGACAGGGACAAGGGGACAGTCAGCTGGGGACAGGGACAGGATCTTCAGCTGGTACGTCACCTGCGGGGACAGGGACAAGGGACAGTCACCTACAGGGACAGGGACAGGATCTCCAGCTGGTACGTCACCTGCGGGGACAGAGGGGACAAGGGGACAGTCACCTACAGGGACAGGGACAGGATCTCCAGCTGGTACGTCACCTGTGGGGATGGGGACAGAGTCAGGTGGGGACAGGGACATGGGGACAGTCAGCTGGGGACAGTGGGGACAGGGACAGGGGGACAGGAACAATCACTGGGGACAGGGACAGGATCTCCAGCTGGTACGTCACCTGCGGGGATGGGGACAGGGTCAGGTGGGGACAGCAGGGACAGGGACAGGGACAGTCACTGGGGACAGGGATATGTGGGGACGGGGACAGGATGTTCAGCTGGTACGTCACCTGGGGACAGCAGGGACAGCGGGAATAGTCACCTGGGGACAGCAGGGACAGGGACATAGGGACAGTGGGAACAAGGACAGGGTCACCTGGGGACAGAGACACCTGGGGACAGGGACACCTGCAGGACAGGGATTGGGACAGGGTCACCTGTGAGACAGCGGGGACAGGGACATGGGGACAGTCACCTGGGACAGGGACAAGGTCACCTGCAGGGACAGCAGGGACCCAGTCACCTGGGGACAGGGACAGGTCACCCAGAAGACAGGGACAGCTGGTGACAGCAGGGACAGGGTCACCTGCGGGATGGGGACACAGTGACACATGGGGACAGAGACACCTGTGGGGACAGGGACAGGATCTGCAGCTGGCACGTCACCTGTGGGACAGCAGGGACAGGGTGACATGGGGGCAGGGGACACCTGGGGACAGGGATGAGAACAGGGTCACCTGCGGGACACGGGCACAGGGACACAGACACTGTCACCAGCAGGGACATCAGGGACAGGGAGCCTGGACATCGTCACAGGGACACGAGGACAGGGACAGAGTGATTGTCACAGGGACACGGGCACAGGGACACCGTGACTGTCACAGGGACATGAGGATGGGGACACTGTGACTGTCACAGGGGCACAAGGACAAGGACACCGTAACTGTCACAGGGACATGGGGACAAGGACGTGGTGACTGTCACAGGGACACAATGACAGGGACACAAGGACAGAGACACTGTGGCTGTCACCCGGACATGGGCACAGGGACACTGTGGCTGTCACAGGGACATGAGGACAAGGGCACTGTGATTGTCACGGGGGCATGAGGACAGGGACACCGTGACTGTCACAAAGATATGGGGACAAGGACACGGTGACTGTCACAGGGATTTGGGCACAGGGACACCGTGGCTGTCACACGGACACCGTAACTGTCACAGGGGCACAAGGACAGGGACACTGTGACTGTCATGGGGACACCATGGCTGTCACAGGGACATGGGGACAAGAACATGGTGATTGTCACACGGACACCGTAATTGTCACAGGGTCATGGGCACAGGGACACCGAGGCTGTCACAGGGACCCCGTGATTGTCATAAGGACATGAGGACAGGGACAGGGTGACTGTCAGAGAGACACAATGACAGGGACACCGTGGCTGTCACACGGACAGGGGCACAGGGACACCGTGGCTGTCACACGGACACCATAACTGTCACAGGGGCACAAAGACAGGGACACTGTGACTGTCATGGGGACTCCATGACTGTCACAGGGACATGGGGACAGGGACACTAACTGTTACAGGGGCATGAGGACAGGGACACCGTGATTGTCACAGGGACATGGGGACAAAGACATGGTGACTGTCACAGGGATACAGGCATAGGGACACCATGAGTGTCACAAGGACACCATGAGTGTCACAGGGACATGAGCATAGGGACACAATGACAGGGACACCGTGGCTGTCACAGGGACATGGCGACAAGGACACCGTGACTGTCACAGGAACACGGGCACAGGGACACAGTGACAGTCCCCAAGCTCATCACCTCCCCATGTGTGCCAGCTGTCCCCTCGTGCCACCTCCCTCTGTGTGCCACCTTCCCCTGTGTGCCACCTGTCCCTGTGTGCCACCTGTCCCTGTGTGCCACCTTCCCCTGTGTGCCACCTGTCCCTGTGTGCCACCTCCCCATGTGTGCCACCTGTCCCTGTGTGCCACCTTCCCCTGTGTGCCACCTGTCCCTGTGTGCCACCTTCCTCCGTGTGGCAGCTATCCCCGTGTGCCAGCTGTCCCCATGTGCCACCTCCCATCACGTGCCACCTCCCCCCGTGTCACCTCCCCCGGTGTCCCTGTCCCCGTGTGTCACCTGGAAGGTGGCGGCGGGCAGGTTGGAGATGGCCACGTACTGCAGGTTGTTCTGCAGGGTGTAGATGAGGGAGGGGACGGCCAGGCGCAGCGTGTCCCCAAACTGTCCCACCACGGCCTCGTGCAGCGTCACCGCCGTCTGCCGGACGCTGCCTGGGGGGACAGGGCTCAGGACAGGGACGCTCCGTCCCCGTCACCCCCCCGCGAGCCTCCCGTGTCCCCTCGTGTCCCCCGGGTCTCTGCCACTTGTCACTGCATCCCTCCAGCATCCCCGGTGTCCCCTGGCCGTGTGACCCCTGACGAGTCCCCTCCTGGGCCCTCGTTGTCCCCTTTGTGTCCCCACCCACCACGTGTGCTCATCTCAGTGTCCCCATTGTCCCCCATGCCACCTACGTCCCTACTGTCCTCGGTGTCCCCAATGTCCCTGCTGTCCCCATGTTGTCAATGTCCTCATGTCTCCAACGTCCCCAGTGTCTCAATGTCCCTGCTGTCCCCAATGTCCCCTCTCCTCACCCCTGTGCTGGATGAGCAGGAGCAGCAGGCACAGCCCCAATGTCCCCAATGTCCCCAGTGTCCCTGTTGTCCCCAATATCCCCAGTGTCCCCAATGCCCCCAGTGTCCCCAATGTCCCCAGTGTCCCTGTTGTCCCCACTGTCCCCAATGCCCCCAGTGTCCCCACTGTCCCCAGCTCACCCCGGTGCTGGATGAGCAGCAGCAGCAGGCACAGCCCCGCTGTCCCCAATGTCCCCAATGTCCCTGCTGTCCCCATGTCCCCCTGTCTCACCCCGGTGCTGGATGAGCAGCAGCAGCAGGCACAGCCCCGCTGTCCCCAGTGTCCCCAGTGTCCCCAGTGTCCCCAGCTCCTCACCCCGGTGCTGGATGAGCAGCAGCAGCAGGCACAGCCCCGCTGTCCCCAGTGTCCCCAGTGTCCCCAGTGTCCCCAGCTCCTCACCCCGGTGCTGGATGAGCAGCAGCAGCAGGCACAGCCCCGCTGTCCCCAGTGTCCCCAGTGTCCCCAGTGTCCCCAGTGTCCCCAGCTCCTCACCCCGGTGCTGGATGAGCAGCAGCAGCAGGCACAGCCCCGCTGTCCCCAGTGTCCCCAGTGTCCCCAGTGTCCCCAGCTCCTCACCCCGGTGCTGGATGAGCAGCAGCAGCAGGCACAGCCCCGCTGTCCCCAGTGTCCCCAGTGTCCCCAGTGTCCCCAGTGTCCCCAGCTCCTCACCCCGGTGCTGGATGAGCAGCAGCAGCAGGCACAGCCCCGCTGTCCCCAGTGTCCCCAGTGTCCCCAGTGTCCCCAGCTCCTCACCCCGGTGCTGGATGAGCAGCAGCAGCAGGCAGGCGCTGCCCTTCATGGCCTCGGCCATCACCACGGCCGTGGTGGGCAGGAAGCGCTCCCCGGGCAGGGTGCGCACGTAGCGGATGCTGAGCACCAGCGACGCGTTCTGCAGCACCAGCACGCCCAGGCTGGCGTACTTCACCTTGCGGGACACTGCGGGGACACAGGGGGACAGGTCACGGAGGGCTGGGGACACCGGGCTGAGTCACCCTGAGCCCCAGTGTCACCCCCGGTGTGACCCCCAGCACGCCCAGGCTGGCGTGCTTCACCTTGCGGGACACTGCGGGGACACAGGGGGACAGGGACACGTCACTGAGAGCTGGGGACACCGGGCTGAGTCACCCTGAGCCCCCCCAGCATGCCCAGGCTGGCGTGCTTCACCTTGCGGGACACTGCGGGGACAGGGACAGGTCACCAGGGGGTGGGGACACTGAGCTGAGCCACCCTGATAGCCCCCAGGCACTACAGGATGGGAACTTCACCCTCTGGGACACTGTGGGGACACCCGGCTGTCACTGAGGGACAGGGACATCGGGCTGAGATCCCCCCAGGCACCCCGGGATGGAAATGTCACACTGTGGGGACATTGGGCTGTCACTGAGGGGTGGGGGGACACCGGGCTGAGCCTCCCCCAGGCACCCCAGGATGGCAATGTCACACTGTGGGGACAGGGACAGGTCACTGAGGGGTGGGGGAACACCGGGCTGAGCCTCCCCCAGGCACCCCGGGATGGCAATGTCACACTGTGGGGACAGGGACAGGTCACTGAGGGGTGGGGGAACACCGGGCTGAGCCCCCCCAGGCACCCCGGGATGGAAATGTCACACTGTGGGGACACTGGGCTGTCACTGAGGGACAGGGGGACACCGGGCTGAGCCCCCCCAGGCACCCCGGGATGGAAATGTCACACTGTGGGGACATTGGGCTGTCACTGAGGGACAGGGGGACACCGGGCTGAGCCCCCCCAGGCACCCCGGGATGGGAGCTCCCCCCGCCGGGACACCGGGGGTCACCTGGGGTCCCCCCTCACACCCCCCGGATCTGCCCCACAGCCCCGCCCGCCCACGCCCCCTGTGCCAGGCCTGCCCCAAAGCCCCCCAGAACCGCCCCCAGACCCCCAGGGCACCCCCAACACCCCCGGCCCAGCCCCCCAGATCCTCGGGACCTCAAAACCGCTCCCAAAGCACCCCCTGATCTCCGGGACCCCCCAGATCTCCGGGACCCCCAAAACCGCCCCCAGTCCCCCCGATCCCCAGATCCCCCCGGACCCCCCTGCCCTGCCCTGCCCCATTCCCCTCCAGCCCCCCTCACCCGCAGCCCCCCAGCGCCCCCGCCCCCCAGCCGGATCCCCCGCCCCGCAGCCCCTGCCCGGGCCCTGCCGCCCCGCCCGTGCCCCCTCACCCGTCGCGGGCCCCGCGGAGTCTCCGGAGCCTCCCCCATCCGCCGCCCCCGGGGCCGCCATGGTGGCACCTGCACAGCACTTCCGCTTCCGGCCACGCCGCGGCCCCGCCCACCGAGAGGAGAGGCTCCGCCCCCAGAGGGTCGGGCCAATCCCCGCGCACCTTCTCGCGGCGCCCCGCCCTCTCAGCCAGTCCGACCAATCAGCGCTCGCCTCGCGCGCTTCCCGCCGCCGACTCGCGCTGTTTCCTCGTCTCTCCCCGTAAGCCACGCCTCCTTCGCCCACAGGCCAATCGCCGCTCTCCTCACCTCTCACACCCCCCTTAAGCCCCGCCCAGCGCTCTCACCACCTCCTCCCTTTCCAAACCCACCAATCCCCGCCCGCGTCCCTCACGCCTCGCCCAATCAGCGCCGGCCGTCCGCAGCCCCGCAGCCAATCGGCGGAGTCGGCGCTCGGCGGGCCGGTTCATTCCAAGATGGCGGCGGTGGCAGGCGGGTCGCGGCGCTGGGACCCGGCGGCGCTGGGGCTGGACCCGGGCTGGCGCCTCACGGCCTACGGCGAGCTGCGCGGCTGAGGCTGCAAAGTCCCGCAGGAGACGCTGCTCAAGCTCCTGGCGGGACTGGAAGGGCAGCGCCCGGGAGGAGGAGGCGGAGGGGAAGGGCAGGAAGCGGAGAGCGGCGGGGCCCCGGCGCTGGGTGAGAGTGGGGAGAGCCCGGCAGGGCTGCGGGGGCTCTGGGGGCAGCGCGGGGGTGCGGCTGAGGGAGCCCGAGGGGCTCGGGGAGCCCTCGGACGGGGGGCTTGGGGGAGCCAGGAGGGCTCGGGGCGGGCTTGGGGGCGCTGAGGGGTTTGGGGGAGCCCTCACAGAGAGCGCTGACGAGTTTGTGGAGCTCAGAAGGAGCCAGGAGTGCTCCGGGCGGGCTCGGGGCCTCTGAGGGCTTTGGGGGAGCCTTCGGAGGGGGCGCTCAGGGGTTTTGAGGGGCTCAGGGGGAACCAAAAGGGCTCGAGGGCTCTGAGGAGTTTGGGGGAGCCTTCAGAGAGGGTGCTGAGGGGTTTGTGGGGGCTCAGGAGGAGCCAGGGGCTCAGGGGCTCTGGGTGGGCTTTTGGGGGCTCGGGGGCGCTGAGGGGTTTGGGGGAGCCCTCGGAGGGGGCGCTGAGGGGTCTGTGGGGCTCAGAGGGAGCCAGGGGGCTCTGGTTGGGGTTTGGGGGAGCCCTCGGAGGGGGCGCTGAGGGCTTTGGGGGGGCTCAGAGGCACAGACCGGGGGTGCTCGGGCACGTGGCGGGGGCACGGGGCAAAGGTGGCCTGGCGAGAGCGGGAGGGGGCGAAGGGCGATGGGGGAGGGAGCGGAGGGAGGAGCCGGGGGAGGGGAGGGGAGGGCGGGGAAGGGAGCGGCCCCCCGGGTCCGGGTGCCCCCTCCCGGCAGGATCCGCGTTCCCGTCCCCGTCCGGCTCTGCCCTGCGTGCCCCGTGCCCGGCGGGGGCTGTGCTGCCAGCTGGGGCTCGGTGCCCACCTCGTGCCCCCCTGGTGGGCTTTGTGCTACCCCCTGATGGCTCGGTGCCCCCCGTGATGGGCTCGGTGCCCTCCTCATGTCCCCTGGCATGGCCTTGGTGCCCCCCTTGTGCCCTTCCATGATGGGCTGGGTCTCCCCATGAGGTCTTGGTGCCCCATGTGTGCCCCCCCCGAGTGCTCAGTGTCCCCCTGGTGCCCCCCTAAGGGCTCTGTGCCCCCCCCCCAAAGGCTCAGTGCCCCTGTGTTTGGCTCAGTGCCCCCCTTGTGCCCCCCCGGTGGGTGCAATGCCCTCCTTGTGCCCCCCTGGTGGGCTCAGTGCCCTCCTTGTGCCACCCCCGATGAGCTCAGTGCCCTCCTTGTGCCCACCATAAGTGCTCGGTTGCCCCGCTGGTGCCCCCCGCGAGCACTCAGTGCCCCCCCTGAGGGCTCGGTGCCCCCTTGATGGGCTCTGTGCCCTCCTCATGCCCTCCCTGAGGGCTTGGTGCCCCCCCCGAGGGCTCAGTGCCCCTTCATGCCCCCCATAGCTCTCTGTGCCCCCCCCACAATGGCTCGGTGCCCCCCCTGATCTCTGTGCCCCCCTGGTGCCCCCCTGAGCGCTCGGTGCCCCCCTGGTGCCCCCTGTGCCCGCAGGCATCGGGCTGGACTCGTGTGTGATCCCGCTGCGGCACGGGGGGCTCTCGCTGGTGCAGACCACCGACTTTTTCTACCCCATCATCGATGACCCCTACATGATGGTACCCCAAAACCCCCAGAGATACCCCTGCACCCCAAAATCACCCTGGGACCCCAAAACTACCCCAGAGATAGCCCTGCACCCCAAAAGCCCCCTGGGACCCCCCAGATCCCATCAGGACTCTTGGAAAACCCCAAATCCCACCCTGGGCTCCCCAAATCCCTTGTGGATACCCCAAATCCCTTGTGGATACCCCAAATCCCCTGTGGATACCCCAAATCCCACCTGGGCACCCCAAATCCTCCCTGGGCACCCCAAATCCTCCCTGGGGACCCCAAATCCCACCTGGGCACCCCAAATCCTCCCTGGGCACCCCAAATCCTCCCTGGGGACCCCAAAAATCCCCTTTGGACCTCCCCAAATTTGATTTCAACACCCCCAAACTCCACCTTGGACCCCCTCAAATCCCACCTGGGGCCCCCCAAGCACCATCGGGGTCCCCCAGTCCTGTCCTGTGTACCCCAAATCCTGGGTTGGGACCCCCAAACACCATTGGGGTCCCCCAGTCCTGTCCCAGAACCCCCCAAACCCCATTTTGAGCCCCCCAGTTCTGTCCTGGACCCCCCCAAATTCCACCTGGGGCCCCCCCAAACACCATCAGGGTCCCCCAATCCTGTCCCAGACCCCCCCAAATCCCACCTGGGACCCCCCAGAAACCATTGGGGTCCCCCAGTCCTGTCCCAGACCCCCCCAAACCCCATTTTGAGCCCCCCAAACACCATCAGGGTCCCCCAGTCCTGTCCTGGGCCCCCCCAGATCCCACTTTGGGTGCTCCACTCCCATTCTGGGTCCCCCAATCCTGTCCTGGGCCCCCCAAATCTCATGTTGGACCACCCAAACCCCATTTTGGGCCCCCCATTCCTGTCCCCAACCCCCCCAAACACCATCAGGGTCCCCCAGTCCTGTCCTGGACCCCCCCAAATCCCACCTGGGGCCCCCCAAACACCATTGGGGTCCCCCAGTCCTCTCCTGGATCCCCCAAACACCATCAGGATCCTCGAATGCTGTCCCAGACCCCCCCAAATCCCATTTTGGGCCCCCTATTTCTGTCCCTGACCCCCCCAAATCCCATTTTGGGCCCCCCATTCCTGCCCCAGATCCCCCAACCCCATTTTGGGCCCCCCAAACCCATTTTGGGCCCGCCATTCCTGCCCCAGACCCCCCTAAATACCATTGGGATTCCCCAATCCTGTCCTGGACCCCCCCAAATCCCGTGTTGGACCCCCAAACCCCATTTTGGGCCTCCCGATCCTATTTTGCGCCCTCCCAAACCCCATTTTGGGTGCTCCAATCCCATTTTGGGCCCCCCAGTCCTGTCCTGGACCCCCCCAAATCCCACCTGGGGCTCCCCAAACCCCCTTTTGGGCCCCCCAGTCCTCTCCTGGATCCCCTAAACACCATCAGGGTCCCCCAATGCTGTCCCAGACCCCCCCAAATCCCATTTTGGATGCTCCAATCCCATCTTGGGCCCCCTATTCTTGTCCCTGACCCCCCAACCCCAGTTTGGGCCCCCCATTCCTGCCCCAGACCCCCCTAAATACCATTGGGATTCCCCAGTCCTGTCCTGGACCCCCTCAAATCCCATGTTGGACCCCCAAACCCCATTTTGGGTCCCCCAATCCTATTTTGGGCCCCCAGTCCTCTCCTGGATCCCCCAAACACCATCAGGGTCCCCCAATGCTGTCCCAGACCCCCCCAGATCCCATTTTGGGCCCCCCAATCCTGTCCTGACCCCCCCAAATCCCATTTTGGGCCCTCCAAATCCCATTTTGGGTGCTCCACTCCCATTTTGGGCCCCCCATTCCTGCCCCAGACCCTCCCAACCCCATTTTGGGCCCCCCAACCCCATTTTGGGCCCCCCAGTCCTGTCCTGGACCCCCCCAAATCCCATGTTGGACCCCCCAAACTTCATTTTGGGCCCCCCAATCCCATTTTGGGCCCCCCCAAATCCCATTTTGGGCCCCCCAGTCCTGTCCTGCACCCCCTCAAATCCCATTTTGGGCCCCCCAATCCTGTCCTGGATCCCCCCAATCCCATTCTGCGCCCCCCAATCCTGTCCTGGGCCCCCCAAATCCTATTTTGGGCTCTCCAGTCCTGTCCCAGACCCCCCCAAATCCCACCTAGGGCCCCCCAAACCCCATTTTGGGCCCCCAAAATCCCAACTTGGGCCCGCAGTCCTGTCCTGGACCCCTCAAATCCCATTTTGGGCGCCGCAGTCCCATCCCTGACCCCCCCCAAACCCCATTTTGGGCCCCCTAATCCTGTCCTGGACCCCCCAAAATCCCATTTTGGGTGCTCCAATCCCATTTTGGACCCCCCAATCCTATCCTGGGTCCCCCCAATCCCATTTTGGGCCCCCCAATCCCATTCTGGGTCCCCCAATCCCATTCTGGTCCCCCCAATCCCATTCTGGGTCCCCTAATCCTGTTCTGGGCTCCCCAATCCCATTTTGTGCCCCCCAATCCTATCCTGGGTCCCCCAATCCCATTTTGGGCCCCCCAATCCCATTCTGGGCCCCTCAATCCTGTTCTGGGCTCCCCAAATCCCATTCTGGGCCCCCCACTCCTGTCCCAGACCCCCCCAAATCCCACCTAGGGCCCCCCAAACCCCATTTTGGGCCCCCAAAATCCCAACTTGGGCCCGCAGTCCTGTCCTGGACCCCTCAAATCCCATTTTGGGCGCCGCAGTCCCATCCCTGACCCCCCCCAAACCCCATTTTGGGCCCCCTAATCCTGTCCTGGACCCTCAAATCCCACCTGGGGCCCCCCCAAACCCCATTCTGGGCCCCCCAATCCCATTTTGGGCCCCCCCAAACCCCTCTCCCGTTGCAGGGCCGCATCGCCTGCGCCAACGTGCTGAGTGACCTGTACGCCATGGGGGTGACAGAGTGTGACAACGTCCTGATGCTGCTGAGCGTCAGCCAGCGCATGAGTGACGAGGTGACAGCGACACAGGGACATGGGGGTGACAGAGTGTGACAATGTCCTGATGCTGCTGAGCGTCAGCCAGCGCATGAGTGACGAGGTGACAGCGACACAGGGACATGGGGGTGACAGAGTGTGACAATGTCCTGATGCTGCTGAGCGTCAGCCAGCGCATGAGTGATGAGGTGACAGCGACACAGGGACATGGGGGTGACAGAGTGTGACAATGTCCTGGTGCTGCTGAGCGTCAGCCAGCGCATGAGTGACGAGGTGACAGCGACACAGGGACATGGGGGTGACAGGGGGTACAGAGTGTGACAATGTCCTGATGCTGCTGAGCGTCAGCCAGCGCATGAGTGACGAGGTGACAGCGACACAGGGACATGGGGGTGACAGGGTGTGACAATGTCCTGGTGCTGCTGAGCGTCAGCCAGCGCATGAGTGACGAGGTGACAGCGACACAGGGACATGGGGGTGACAGAGTGTGACAATGTCCTGGTGCTGCTGAGCGTCAGCCAGTGCATGTGTGACGCGGTGACAGTGACACAGGGACATGGGGGGGACAGGGGACACAGCCTGGGTGTGACAGTGTCCTGATGCTGCTGAGCGTCAGCCAGCGCATGAGTGATGAGGTGACAGTGACACAGGGACATGGGGGGGACAGGGGACACAGGGGACACAGCCTGGGTGTGACAACGTCCTGGTGCTGCTGAGCAAGGAGGTGACAGTGACAGGGGGACACAGGGGGGACACAGGGACATGGGGACACAGCCTGGGTGTGACAGTGTCCTGGTGCTGCTGAGCATCAGCCAGCGCATGAGCGACGAGGTGACAGTGACACGGGGACATGGGGGGGACACAGGGACATGGGGGTGACAGAGTGTGACAATGTCCTGATGCTGCTAGTGAGGAGGTGACAGTGACAGGGGGACGCAGGGACATGGGGACACAGCCTGAGTGTGACAATGTCCTGGTGCTACTGAGCGTCAGCCAGCACACGAGTGACGAGGTGACAGTGACAGGGGGACGCAGGGACACGGTGACACAGGGGGCACATCCTGGGTGTGACAATGTCCTGGTGCTGCTGAGTGATGAGATGACAGGGACAGGGGGGTGACAGGGACACTGGGGGCAGTGTCGTGACACTGAGGGAGTGACAGGGACACAGAAGGCGATGGGACAGTGAGGGGGTGACAGGGACACTGTGGCGGTGACAGTGACATGGTGACAAGGACATTGTGGGGTGACAGGGGACACTGAAAGGGTGACAGGGACATTGCAGGGGACAAGGACACTGTGGAGGTCACAGGTGACAGTGACCATGGGGTGGTTTCAGGGGACAGAGAGGGTGACAGTGACACTGCGGGGGGTGTCAGGGGACACTGTGGGGTGACAGGGACACCGTGGGAGTGACAGTGACCCAGGGTGATTTCAGGGGACACAGGCGGTGACAGTGACCCCAGGGTGACAGTGACATGGGGGTGACAGTGACACTGTGGGCAGTTTCAGGGGACACTGTGGGAGTGACAGTGACCCAGGGGTGACCATGACCCGCGGGTGGTTTGAGGGGACACAGGGGGTGACAGTGACTCTGGGGTGACAGTGACACTGTGGGCAGTTTCAGGGGACACAGAGGGTGACAGTGACACAGGGGTGACAGTGACCCGGGGGTGACCATGACCTGTGGGTGGTTTGAGGGGACACAGGGGGTGACAGTGACTTGGGGGTGACAGTGACACTGTGGGCGGTTTCAGGGGACACAGAGGGTGACAGTTACCCCAGGGTGACAGTGACACTGTGGGCGGTTTCAGGGGACACAGGCGGTGACAGTGACCCCAGGGTGACAGTGACCCCAGGGTGACAGTGACACTGTGGGCAGTTTCAGGGGACACAGGCGGTGACAGTGACCCCAGGGTGACAGTGACCCCAGGGTGACAGTGACACTGTGGGCAGTTTCAGGGGACACAGGTGGTGTCAGTGACACTGTGGGGGGTTTCAGGGCACAGAGGGTGACAACAGTGACCCCAGGGTGACAGTGCCATTGTGTCCCCCCAGGAGAGGGACAAGGTGATGCCGCTGATCATCCAGGGCTTCCGGGACGCGGCCGAGGACGGGGGGACGTCGGTGACAGGGGGACAGACCGTGCTCAACCCCTGGGTCATCGTGGGGGGCGTGGCCACCGCAGTCTGCCAATCCAGCGAGTTCATCATGTGAGTGTTGGGCGGGGCCATGACGTGTCAATCATTGTGTGATGGGCGAGGCCACAGCCTCCTGCCAATCATGGTGTGGTGGGTGGGGCCATGGCCTATCAATCACTAGTATGGTGGGTGGGGCAATGCCTCCTGTCGATCATTGATGTGGTGGGTGGGGCCACAGACTCCTGTCAATCATAGTGTGGTGGGTGGGGTCATGGTCTGTCAATCATTGCTGTGATGGGTGGGATCACTGCTTCATGTCAGTCATTGGTGTGGCGGGCGGGGCCACTGCCACCAGTCAATCATTGCATGATGGGTGGGGCGACTGCCTCCTGTCATTGGAGTGGGTGGGGCCACTTTCTCCTGTCAATCATTGGTGTGGTGGGTGGGGCCACTGCCTCCTGTCAATCATGTGGTGGGCAGAGCCACTACCTCTTGTCAATCATTGGTGTGATGGGTGGGGCCATTGCCTCCTGTCAGTCATTGGTGTGATGGGTGGGGTCACTGTCTCCTGTCAATCATCATGTGGTGGGTGGGATCACTGCACCCTGTCAGTCATTGTGTGGTGGGTGGGGCCACTGCATCCTGTCAATCATTGGTGTTTTGGGGGCATGGGGGCAGGGTTTGGGATGTGGGGGTGGGGTTTGGGACATGGGGGTGGGGTTTTGGACATGGGGCATGGTTTGGGGACTTGGGGGCGGGGTTTGTTGTCATGGGGTGGAGCTTGGAACATGGGGGTGGGGTTTGGAACATGGGGGCGGGATTTGGGGCATGGGGGCGAGATTTGGGATGGGGCGGGGCTTGGGACAGGGGGCGGGGCTTGGGACAGGGGGGCGGGGTTTGGGGACGGGGGCGGGGTTTGGGGTTATGGGGCGGGGTTTGGCACAGGGGGCAAGGCCTGGTTATATGGGGGTGGGGTTTGGTACATCAGGGTGGGGATTGGGACCCGGGCTGGGTTTGAGGCCATGGGATTTGGGGACATTGGGTGGGGTTTGGGACATGGGGAGGGGTTTGGGACATGGGGAGGGGTTTGGGACATGGGGGCGGGGTTTGGGACATGGGGGCGGGGTTTGGGGCATGGGATTTGGGGACATGGGGGTGGGGTTTGGGGACATGGGGCGGGGTTGGGGACATGGGGGTGGGGTTTGGGACATGGGGGCGGGGTTTGTGCAGGGGGCGGGGCCTGGGCCAAGGGCGTGTCCCACACTGACGCCAGCCCCGCCCAGGCCGGACAGCGCCGTGCCCGGGGACGTGCTGGTGCTGACCAAGCCCTTGGGGACACACATGGCTGTCACCGCCCACCAGTGGCTGGACATGGTGAGTGACACTGGGGACGGGGCCAGCCCTGTGTCCTGGGGACACCTCAGACGGGTCTGGGCACACCCAGGTGTCCCCAACGGGAGCCACAATGGGACTGAAACCCACCTGAGGTGTCCCCAGGGGACCCCAAAGCCACCCCCGATGTCCCTGAGGGAGGGAGCTGCCCCCTGGGAGTCCCTGAGCCACCCCTGGTGTCCCCAAAGGGGCCCTGAGTGCTGCGGGGCTGTCCCCAGGGTGTCCCTGACCCTGTCCCCAGGGTGTCCCCACTGTCCCTGACCCTGTCCCCAGGGTGTCCCTGATGCTGCCCCCATGGTGCCTCCATGATGTCCCCAGGGTGTCTGCTCAGTGTCCCCACGCTGTCCCCGCTGTCCGTGACACTGTCCCCATGGTGTCCCTGACCGTGTCCCCTTAGTGTCCCTGACACTGTCCCTGACCTTGTCCCCATAGTGTCCCCACTGTCCCCGCGCTGTCCCTGCTGTCCCTGATGCTGTCCCCACGCTGTCCCCACGGTGTCCCCACTGTCCCCTCAGTGTCCCTGACGCTGTCTCCACTGTCCCTGACCCTGTCCCCACTGTCCCCATGGTGTCCTGACGCTGTCCCCACACTGTCCCCACAGTCCCTGACGCTGTCCCCATGCTGTCCCTGATGCTGTCCCCACACTGTCCCCGCTGTCCCTGATGCTGTCCCCGCTGTCCCCACGCTGTCCCCACTGTCCCTGATCCTGTCCCCGCTGTCCCTGATACTGTCCCCACACTGTCCCCGCTGTCCCCACACTGTCCCCGCTGTCCCTGACCCTGTCCCCGCTGTCCCTGACGCTGTCCCCGCTGTCCCCATGCTGTCCCCGCTGTCCCTGATGCTGTCCCCACACCGTCCCCGCTGTCCCTGACCCTGTCCCCACTGTCCCTGACCCTGTCCCCGCTGTCCCCACCCTGTCCCCACACCGTCCCCGCTGTCCCTGACCCTGTCCCTGCTGTCCCTGACCCTGTCTCCACGCTGTCCCCGCTGTCCCCACACTGTCCCCGCTGTCCCTGCGCTGTCCCCACTGTCCCTGACGCTGTCCCCACTGTACCCACCCTGTCCCCACGCTGTCCCCGCTGTCCCCACGCTGTCCCCACACTGTCCCCACGCTGTCCCCGCAGCCCGAGCGCTGGAACAAGATCAAGCTGGTGGTGACCCGTGAGGAGGTGGAGCTGGCGTACCAGGAGGCTGTGGCCAGCATGGCCACCCTGAACCGCACCGGTGAGGGACAGGGGACACTGGGGACACTGGGGACACCCGGGAGGGACACTGGGGACAACGGACACCCGGGGGACAATGGGGACACCCGGGAGGGACACTGGGACACCCTGGGGGACAGCCCGGGGGGACACTGGGGACAAGGGCCACCCCAGGGGGGTCCCAAAGCCACCAGGGGGGGCCCAGAGTCATCCCAGGGTGGCCCCAAAGTCATGGGGGGTCCCTAAAGCCACTCCAGATGTCCCCAGAGCCACCCCAGGGTGTCCCTAGGCCAGGCTGGGTGTCCCCAGAGCCGCTCTGTGGTGTCCCCAAAGCCACCCCAGGGTGTCCCCACACCCAGGGGGACCCACGTGAGGTGACACTGTGGCCCCTTCTAAGGTGACACTGTGCCTCTGAGGTGACACTGTGCTCACCCTGAGGTGGCATTGTCCCCCTCAGCTGTGGGGGGGGGTCCATGTGAGGTGACACTGCCCACCCTGAGGTGACACTGTCCCCCCGAGGTGGCACTGTCCCCTGAGCTGTGCCTGTCTCTGTCCCCTGAGTGACCCCATTCCTGTCCCTGTCCCTTGAGCTGTCCCCTCCCTGTCCCCAGCTGCCAGGCTCATGCTGTCCCTGTCCCCAGTGGCGGGGGCTGTCCCCCTGAGATGTCACTGTCCCCTGTCCCTGTCCCCTCCCTGTCCCCTGACCTGTCCCTGTCCCCTGTCCCCGTCCCCAGCAGCAGGGGGCTGTCCCCCTGAGCTGTCCCTGTCCCCTGTCCTGTCCCTGTCCCCTGTCCTGTCCCTGTCCCCTGTCCCTGTCCCCTGACCTGTCCCTGTCCCCTCCCTGTCCCCTGACCTGTCCCCAGCCGCCGGGCTCATGCTGTCCCTGTCCCCTGACCTGTCCCTGTCCCCTGACCTGTCACTGTCCCCTGTCCCTGTCCCCTCCCTGTCCCCTCCCTGTCCCCTGTCCTGTCCCTGTCCCCTGTCCCTGTCCCCTGACCTGTCACTGTCCCCTGTCCCTGTCCCCTCCCTGTCCCCTCCCTGTCCCCTGTCCTGTCCCTGTCCCCTGTCCCTGTCCCCTGACCTGTCCCTGTCCCCTGTCCCTGTCCCCTCCCTGTCCCCTGACCTGTCCCCAGCTGCCGGGCTCATGCTGTCCCTGTCCCCTGACCTGTCCCTGTCCCCTGACCTGTCACTGTCCCCTGTCCCTGTCCCCTCCCTGTCCCCTCCCTGTCCCCTGTCCTGTCCCTGTCCCCTGTCCCTGTCCCCTGACCTGTCCCTGTCCCGTCCCTGTCCCCTGACCTGTCCCTGTCCCCTGTCCATGTCCCCAGCAGCAGGGGGCTGTCCCCTGAGCTGTCCCTGTCCCCTGTCCCCTGACCTGTCCCTGTCCCCTGTCCCTGTCCCCTCCCTGTCCCCTGACCTGTCCCCAGCCGCCGGGCTCATGGTGTCCCTGTCCCTGTCCTGTCCCTGTCCCCTGTCCCCTGAGCTGTCCCTGTCCCCTGTCCCTGTCCCCAGCCGCCGGGCTCATGCTGTCCCTGTCCCCTGAGCTGTCCCTGTCCCCTGTCCCTGTCCCCAGCAGCAGGGGGCTGTCCCCCTGAGCTGTCCCTGTCCCTGTCCCCTGAGCTGTCCCTGTCCCCTCCCTGTCCCCAGCCGCCGGGCTCATGCTGTCCCTGTCCCCTGAGCTGTCCCTGTCCCCTGTCCCTGTCCCCAGCCGCCGGGCTCATGCTGTCCCTGTCCCCTGAGCTGTCCCTGTCCCCTGTCCCTGTCCCCAGCCGCCGGGCTCATGCGCGCCTTCGGGGCGCACGCCGCCACGGACGTGACGGGTTTCGGGGTGCTGGGGCACGCGCGGGCGCTGGCGGAGCAGCAGCGCCTGGACGTGGCCTTCGTCATCCACAACCTGCCCGTCATCGCCTGCATGGCGGCCGTGAGCCGCGCCTGCGGGGGCCGGGGCGGGCTGCTGCAGGGGACGGCGCCTGAGACATCGGGTATGGCACCAAAATGGCACTGGGGACACTGGGAGTGGCACTGGGGACACTGGGAGTGGCACTGGGGACATTGGGTATGGCATTGGGGACAGTGGGAGTGGGACTGGGGACACTGGGAGTGGCACTGGGGACAGTGGGAGTGGGACTGGGGACACTGGGAGTGGGGACACTGGGAAGGGGGACACTGTGCCCGTCATCGCCTGCATGGCGGCCGTGAGCCGCGCCTGCGGGGGCCGGGGCGGGCTGCTGCAGGGGACGGCGCCTGAGACATCGGGTATGGCACCAAAATGGCACTGGGGACACTGGGAGTGGCACTGGGGACACTGGGAGTGGCACTGGGGACATTGGGTATGGCATTGGGGACAGTGGGAGTGGCACTGGGGACACTGGGAGTGGCACTGGGGACACTGGGAATGGCATTGGGGATACTGGGAATGGCACTGGGGACAGTGGGAATGGCATTGGGGACAGTGGGAGTGGCACTGGGGACACTGGGAGTGGCACTGGGGACACTGGGAGTGGGACTGGGGACACTGGGAATGGCACTGGGGATACTGGGAATGGCACTGGGGACACTGAGAATGGCACTGGGGACACGATTTGGCACTGGGGACACTGGGAATGGCACTGGGGACAGTGGGAATGGCATTGGGGACAGTGGGAATGGCATTGGGGACAGTGGGAGTGGCACTGTGGATACTGGGAGTGGCACTGGGGACACTGGGAGTGGGATTGGGGACATTGGGAATGGCACTGGGGACACTGGGAATGGCACTGGGGACACTGGGATTGGGGACCCTGGGGGCACTGGGAATGGCACTGGGGACACTGGGAATGGCACTGGGGACACTGGGAGTGGCACTGGGGACAGTGGGAATGGCACTGGGGACAGTGGGAGTGGGATCGGGGACAGTGGGAATGGCACTGGGGACACGATTTGGCACTGGGGACACTGGGAGTGGCACTGGGGACAGTGGGAATGGGGACCCTGGGGGCACTGGGAATGGCATTGGGGACACTGGGAATGGCACTGGGGACAGTGGGAATGGCTCTGGGGACAGTGGGAATGGCACTGGGGACATTGGGTATGGCATTGGGGACACTGGGAATGGCACTGGGGACAGTGGGAATGGCTCTGGGGACAGTGGGAGTGGCACTGGGGACACTGAGAATGGCTCTGGGGACAGTGGGAGTGGGATTGGGGACACGGGGAATGGCACTGGGGACAGTGGGAGTGGCACTGGGGACACTGGGAATGGCTCTGGGGACAGTGGGAGTGGGACTGGGGACACTGGGAATGGCTCTGGGGACAGTGGGAGTGGGACTGGGGACACTGGGAATGGCACTGGGGACAGTGGGAGTGGGACTGGGGACACTGGGAATGGCACTGGGGACCCTAAAATGGGATCAGGGACACTGGGAGTGGCTCTGGGGACACTGGGACTGGGGACACTGGGAATGGCACTGGGGACACTGGGAATGGCACTGGGGACACTGAGAATGGCTCTGGGGACAGTGGGAGTGGGATTGGGGACACTGGGAATGGGATTGGGGACACTGGGAGTGGCACTGGGGACACTGGGAGTGGCTCTGGGGACACTGGGAGTGGCACTGGGGACACTGGGAATGGCTCTGGGGACACTGGGACTGGGGACACTGGGAATGGCACTGGGGACAGTGGGAGTGGCACTGGGGACACTGGGACTGGGGACACTGCTGCAGGGCACGGCCAGGGGCGCCCCCAAAACAGGACTGGGGACCCCAAAATTGAGACGGGGAGCGCTGGTAATGGGATTGGGGAGCGGGAAAATGGATTGGGGACCCTGGAAATGGGGGGTTTGGGGGGGGGTTGGTGTTTTGGGGTGTTTTGGGGTGGTCTTGGGGTCTTTCGGTGTATTTGGGGCTGTTTTTGGGGTGTGTTTGGGATATTTTTGGGGTGTATTTGGGATGTTTTTGGGGTGACACCCCGGTTCATTCGCAGGGGGGCTGTTGGTGGTGCTGCCTCGGGCTCAGGCCACCCGGCTCTGGGAGGTGTTTAGGGTGATTTTGGGGTGTGTTTGGGGTATTTTTGGGGTGTGTTTAGGATGTTTTTGGGGTGTGTTTAGAATGTTTTTGGGGTATTTTTGGGGTGTCTTTGGGATGTTTTTGGGGTGACCTTCTTCTGTTCCCTAGCGTGGGCTGTTGGTGGTCCTGCCCCGTGCTCAGGCTGCCCGGTTCTGGGCTGTGTTGAGGAGGTTTTTGGGGTGTTTTTGGGATGTTTTTGGGGCGTGTTTGGGGTGTTTTTGGGGTATTTTTGGGGTGTGTTTGGGTATTTTTGGGGTGTGTTTAGGATGTTTTTGGGATGTTTATGGGGTGACACTCCTGTTTATTCACAGGGGGGCTGCTGGTGGTGGTGCTGCCCCGGTTCTGGGGTGTTTTTGGGGTGTGTTTCGGATGTTTTTGGGGTGGATTTGAGGTATTTTTGGGGGGTATTTGGGATGTTTTTGGGGTGACACACTGTTTATTTTGCAGGGGGTTTATTGATTGTCCTGCCCTGCACCCAGGCCACCCAGTTCTGGGCTGTGTTTGGGCTGTGTTTAGGATGTTTTTGGGCTGTGTTTAGGATATTTTTGGGCTGTGTTTAGGATGTTTTGGGCTGTGTTTAGGATGTTTTGGGCTGTGTTTAGGATGTTTTGGGCTGTGTTTAGGATATTTTTGGGCTGTGTTTAGGATGTTTTGGGCTGTGTTTAGGATGTTTTGGGCTGTGTTTAGGATATTTTTGGGCTGTGTTTAGGATGTTTTTGGGCTGTGTTTAGGATGTTTTTGGGCTGTGTTCAGGATGTTTTGGGGTGACACCCTGTTTATTTTTCAGCGGGTTTGTTTGTGGTCCTGCCCCGTGCCCAGGCCGCCCGGTTCTAGGCTGTGTTTGGGCTTTATTTGGGGTATTTTTGGGGTATATTTGGGATGTTTTTGGGGTGACACTGTTTATTCCCACAGGGGGTTTATTGGTTGTCCTGCCCCATGCCCAGGCTGCCCGGTTCTGGGCTGTGTTTAGGATGTTTTTGGGGTATTTTTGGAGTATTTTTAGGATATTTTTGGGATGCTTTTGGGGTATTTTTGGGCTGTGTTTAGAGTGTTTTTAGGATGTTTTCAGGGTGATGCAGTATTTATTTTGCAGGAGGTTTATTGGTGGTCCTGCCCCATGCCCAGGCCGCCCGGTTCTGTGCGGAGCTGAAGGCGCCAGGCCGGGGCTGTGTTTGGGATATTTTTAGGATGTTTTTGGGGTATATTCGGGATGTTTTTGGGGTGACACTCTGTTTATTCCCTTAGGTGGTTTATTGATTGTCCTGCCCCATGCTCAGGCCGCCCGGTTCTGGGCTGTGTTTGGGGTATTTTTGGGGTGTGTTTAGGGTGTTTTTAGGATGTTTTTGGGGTACTTTTGGGATATTTTTCGGGTGACACACTGTATATTTTGCAGGGGGTTTGCTGGTTGTCCTGCCCCATGCGCAGGCCGCCCAGTTCTGGGCTTTATTTGGGGTATTTTTGGGGTTTGTTTAGGATGTTTTTGGGGTATATTTGGGATGTTTTTGGGGTGACGCTGTGTTTATTCCCACAGCAGGTTTATTGGTGGTCCTGCCCCGCGCCCAGGCCACGCGGTTCTGGGCTGTGTTTGGGCTTTATTTGGGGTATTTTTGGGCTGTGTTTGGGGTATTTTTGGGGTGTATTTGGGATGTTTTCGGGGTGACACCCTGTTTATTTCACAGGAGGTTTATTGGTGGTGCTGCCCCGCGCCCAGGCCGCGCGGTTCTGGCTGTGTTTGGGCTGTGTTTAGGATATTTTTAGGATGTTTTTGGGGTGTATTTGGGATGTTTCGGGGTGACACCCTGTTTATTTCACAGGAGGGTTGCTGGTGGTCCTGCCCCGCGCCCAGGCCGCGCGGTTCTGGGCTGTGTTTGGGCTGTGTTTAGGATATTTTTAGGATGTTTTTGGGGTGTATTTGGGATGTTTTTGGGGTGACACCCTGTTTATTTCACAGGAGGTTTATTGGTGGTGCTGCCCCGCGCCCAGGCCGCGCGGTTCTGCGCGGAGCTCAAGGCCCCCGGGCGCGGCCCCGGGCTCCAGGCCTGGATCGTGGGCGTGGTGGAGAAGGGGCCCCGCGGCGCCCGGGTCATCGACAAACCCCGCGTGATCGAGGTGCCCCCCCGGGGGGCCCCCCCAGAACCCCGAGAGCCCCCCCGGGGGCAGCCCCCCCCCGGAGCCCCCCCGGGGGCCCTGCTAGGGGCGGGACACCCCGAAATCCCCAAAGGTGGGGCAGAGAGACCCCGAAAACACCCAAAATTGGGTCAGAGAGACCCCAAAAATCCCCCCAGAGGTGGGGCAGAGTCACCCCAAAAACGCCCAAAGGTGGGGCAGAGAGACCCCAAAATCCCCTGCTAGGGGACACCCCGAAAACGCCCAAAATTGGGGCAGAGAAACCCCAAAGTTGGGTCAGAGTCACCCCCCGCTAGGGGACACCCCAAAAACACCCAAAATTGGGGCAGAGAGACCCCAAAGTTGGGTCAGAGTCACCCCAGAGAGACCCCAAAAATCCCCAAATTTGGGTCAGATCCATCCTGAGCCCCCTGCTAGGGGAGAGATCCCCCAAAAATCCCCAAATTGGGGAAAATCCCAACCCTGATGCAGCTCCCGGTGAAGGGATCCCAAAGAAAACCCCAAAATCCCCAAAAATCTCCAAAAAATCCCATCAACCCCTCCCCACCAAAATCCCATCAAAGCTGCCCCAACATTCAGGTCAAACCCCCCCAAAAATCCCATTAAAGACCCCCAAATTGGGTCAAACACCCCAAAAAATCCCATTAATGTTCCCCCAAACTGGGTCAAAACCCCCACAAAAAATCCCATCAAAGCTGCCCCAAAATTCAGGTCACTCCCCCCCAAAAAATCCCATTGAAGTCTCCCCATTTTGGATCAAACACCCCAAAATAATCCCATTAAAGTCCCCCCAAAATTCAGGTCAATCCCTCTAAAAAAGTCCCATTAAAGTTCCCCCAAATTGGGTCAAACCCCCCAAAAATCCCATCAAAGTCCCCCTAAATTGGGTCAAATCCCCCCAAAAAATCCCACTAAAGTGCCCCCAAATTGGGTCAAATGCCCCCCAAAAAATCCCAATAAAGTCTCCCCAGTTTGGGTCAAATGCCCCCCAAAAAATCCTAAATAAAGTTCCCCCGAAATTCAGGTCAAAGCCCCCCAAAAAATCCCAATAAAGTCCCCCCAAATTGGGTCAAATCCCCCCAAAAAATCCCATTAAATCCCCTCATTTTGGGTCAAACCCCCCAGACCCCATCCAAGCCCCCCCATTTTGGTCACACCCCCCTCCCAGGGACCCCCAAATCCCCCCCCCCCCATTTTTGGGGTCCCCCCCTCCCCCATTGGCCGTGCCCGATGAGCAGCGGGCGCGGCCCCCCCCCAAACCCCCCCCCCCCCCGCGTGACGCCCCCCCCCAAAACCCCCCCGTGGGGGTGGGGGAGGGGCCGAGACCCCCCCTCAGTGAGGGGGGGCTGGGGGGACCCCCAGAAATGGGGCAGTAAAGGAGATTGCAGAGAAACGGGGGCTGTTTATTGAGGGGAGGGGGCCCCCAAATATCTGGGGGGGGTTTGGGGGTGACATGGGGGGTTTGGGGGTTCCATGGGGGGGTCCTGGGGGGGATTTTGGGGTGCTCCCCCCACCAAATCCAGATCATGACGTGGATCCAGGGAGATTCCCAGAGGAACATTTGGGGTTTTTTGGGGTCCCAAACCCCAGGTTGAAGCTCCCAGAGGGGTTTTGGGGTTCCCCGGGAGGTTTTTGGGGTTCCATTGGGGGTTTGGGGGTTCCTTTGGGGGGATTTTGGGGGGGTCCTGGGGGAGATTTTGGGGGTGCTCCCCCCACCAGATCCAGTTCGTGATGTGGATCCAGGGAGATTCCCAGAGGAACTTTTGGGGTTTCTGGGGGGTTTTGGGGTCACCCTTGGGTTGAGGCTCCCGGAGGGTTTTGGGGTTCCCCGGGAGGATTTTGGGGTTCCATTGGGGATTTTGGGGGTTCCATGGGGGGATTTTTGGGGCTCCCCCCCCAAATCCCTGCCATGGATCCAGGGAGGAGATTCCCAAAGGAACTTTTGGGGTTTTTTGAGGGGTTTTGGGGTCACCCTTGGGTTGAGGCTCCCAGAGGGTTTTGGGGTTCCCGGGAGGATTTTGGGGTTCCATGGGGGGGTTTTGGGGTGTCCCCCCCCAAAATGATCCAATCCCTGGATCCAGAGAGGGAATTCCCAGAGGAACATTTGGGATTTTTTGGGGTCCCCCCCTGGGTTGAGGCTCCCGGAGGGTTTTGGGGCTCCCCGGGGGGGGTTTTGGGGGTACCCCTGGGGGTGGTTTTGGGGTGCTTGGGGGGTTGTTTATGGGGTGCCAAGGAGGCTGTTTGTAGGGTGCCCCCAGGGATGATTTTGGGGTACCCTGGGGGTGTTTTTAGGGTGCCCCTCGGGGGGTGGTTTTGGGGTGTTTGTGGGGCTGGTTTTGGGGTGCCCCTGGGGTGTTTTTGGGGTACCCTGGGGGTGGTTTTGGGGTGTTTATGGGGCTATTTTTGGGGTGTTTATGGGTGTTTATAGGGCTGGTTTTGGGGTGCTGTGGGGCTGTTTTTAGGGTGTACTCAGGGCTGTTTTTGGGGTGTTTTTGGGGTGCTGTGGGGCTGTTTCTGGGGCTGTTTTTGGGGTTCCCCCGGGGCAGTTTTTGGGGTGCTGTCGGGTTGATTGTGGGGTGTTTGTGGGGCTGGTTTTGGGGTTCCAGGGGGGCTGTTTGTTGGGGTTCGGGGGGGCTGTTTCTGGGCAGTTTTTGGGGTTCGGGGGGTGTCTCCCCCTCACTTGATGCAGTCCATGACGTGGATCTGCAGCGTGTCCATGTCGGGCGCCCTGTACTGGCACTTGGGGCAGCACAGCTCCGGCCCCTCCTCGGGGGGGGGCGGCGGCAGCGCCCCAAAACCTGCGGGGGGCGGGGGAGGGGCACGGTCAGACCCTGCCCCGCCCCCCCCCGGGGGGGTTTGGGGGTCCCGGGACCCCCCTGAACTCACCCGGGGCCGGGGCCGGGGGCGGCTCCGAGTGCCGGTTCCGCATCTCCTCCAGACGGGCCCTGCACGGGGAATTGGGGGGATTGAGGGGATTCTGGGGGGGCTTGGGGGATTTTGGGGGGTTTGGGGGGATTTTGGGGGGAATTTGGGGGGTTTAGGGGAATTTGGGGGGGGGTTTGAGGGGATTTTGGGGGGTTCTAGGAGGCATTTGTGAGGGTTTTGGGGTGGGATTGAGGTGGTTTTGGGGGGATTTTCGGGGGGATTTTGGGGTGTTTGAGGGGAATTTGGCGGGGATTGAGGGGATGTTGGGGGGATTTGGAGGGGGTTTGGGGGGAAATTCGGTGCAATTTTGGGGGATTTGGGGGGGTTGGGGGGAATTTGAGGGGGGATTTGGGGTCATTTGGGGGGGTTGAGGGGTTTCAGGGGATTTGGGGGAATTTGAGGGATTTTGGGTGGTTCTGGGAGGGATTTGTGAGGGTTTTGAGGGGGATTGGGGTGGCTTTGGGGGGATTTTGGGGGCTTTTCAGAAGGATTTGAGGGGGATCTTGGAGGGATTTGAGGGGCTTGGGGGGGTTTCAAGGGGATTTGGGGGGGTTCTGGGGGATTTAGGGGCTTTTGGATTTTTTGGGGTGTTTTGGGGCTGTTTTTGGGGTGTTTTTGAGCTGTTTTGGGCTGGTTTGGGGGTATTTTTGGGGTGTTTTTAGGGTCTTCCAGTGTATTATCAGGGTGCTCCTGGCTGGTTTTGGGCTGGTTTGGGGCTGTTGTTGGCGGTTTTGGGGTGTTCTGGGCTGTTTGGGGCTGTTTTCGGCTGGTTTGGGAGTGGTTTTGGGGTGTTTTGACTGTTTTGGGCTGGTTTTTGGAGCTGTTTTTGGGGTGTTTTGGGGCTGGTTTGGGCTGTTTTGGGTCTTTAGAGCTGTTTTTTGCTGGTTTTGGGGTTGGTTTCGGGCTGGTTTTGGACTGGTTTTGGTCTGTTTTGGGTTGGGTTTTGGCTGTTTTTCGGCTGTTTTTAGACTATTTTGGGGCTGGTTTTGGGCTGTTTTGGGCCGTTTTCAGGGTGTTTGGGGTGGTTTTGGGGCGTTCTGGCTCTTTTTGGCTGTTTCAGGCTGGGTTTAGGGTGGTTTTGGGCTGGTTTTGGCTGTTTTGGGGTGTTCTGGGCTGTTTTTGGGGTGTTTTTTTGCTGGTTTTAGGGTCTTTGGAGGTGTTTTTGGGCTGTTTTGGGGTGGTTTTTGCTGGTTTTAGGGTCTTTGGAGGTGTTTTTGGGCTGGTTTTGGGGTGTTTTTGGGCTGGTTTGGGGTGTTTTTTGCTGGTTTTGGGGTGTTCTGGGCTGGTTTTGGGGTGTTCTGGGCTGGTTTTGGGGTGGTTTTGGGCTGTTTTGGGGTGGTTTTTGCTGGTTTTAGGGTCTTTGGAGGTGTTTTTGGGCTGGTTTTGGGGTGTTTTTTGCTGGTTTTGGGGTGTTCTGGGCTGGTTTTGGGGTGTTTTTGGGCTGGTTTGGGGTGGTTTTTGCTGGTTTTGGGGTGTTCTGGGCTGGTTTTGGGGTGTTTTTGGGCTGGTTTTGGGGTGTTTTTTGCCGTACCGGGCGCCGTCCCCGCCGAGCCGCAGCCGCAGCTGGTTCAGCTCCTCCTGCAGAGCCTCGCGCTGCCCGTGCAGCTGCTCCCGCGCCGCGCGCTCCGCCTCGAAATCCGCGCGGTAAATGTCGGCCTGGGGACGTTGAGGGGGTCAGGAACCCCAAAATGCAACAGGGAACCCCAAATCCAACCAGGGATCCCCAAAATCCACCCAGAATCCATCCCAAATCCACCCAAACTCCCCCCAGTGCCGCGCGCTCCGCCTCGAAATCCGCGCGGTAAATGTCGGCCTGGGGACGTTGAGGGGGTCAGGAACCCCAAAATGCAACAGGGAACCCCAAAACCCATCCAGGGAACCCCAAAACCCACCCAGAATCCATCCAAACCCTCCCCCAGTGCCGCGCGCTCCGCCTCGAAATCTGCCCCGTAAATGTCAGCGTCGGGATATTGAGGAGGTCAGGAACCCCAAAGTCCAATATGGAACCCCAAAATCCACCTAAGGAACCCCAAAATCCATCCAGGGAACCCCAAAATCCAACTGGGGAACCCCTAAATCCAACCAAAACACACCCAAACCCTCCCCCGGTGCCGCGCGCTCCGCCTCGAAATCCGCGCGGTAAATGCCGGCCTGGGGACGTTGGGGGGGTCAGGAACCCCCAAATCCACCCAGGGAACCCCAAATCCAACCAGGGATCCCCAAAATCCATCCAGGGAACCCCAAATCCAACCAGGGATCCCCAAAATCCAACCAGGGATCCCCAAAATCCACCCAGGGATCCCCAAAATCCACCCAGGGAACCCCAAATCCAACCAGGGATCCCCTAAATCCATCCAGGGAACCCCAAATCCAACCAGGGATCCCCAAAATCCAACCAGTGATCCCCAAAATCCACCCAGGGATCCCCAAAATCCACCCAGGGAACCCCAAATCCAACCAGGGATCCCCTAAATCCATCCAGGGAACCCCAAATCCAACCAGGGATCCCCTAAATCCATCCAGGGAACCCCAAAATCCACCCCAAATCCACCCAAACTCCCCCCAGTGCCACGCGCTGCGCCTCGAAATCCGCGCGGTGAATGCCGGCCTGGGGACGTTGGGGGGGTCAGGAACCCCAAAATCCCCCCTGATCCTCCCAGATCCCCCCAGCCCCACCTGGGGGACCCTGCCCCAGATTTTGGGGGTCTCAGGACCCCCCCAGCCCCACCTGTGCCTGCAGCACCGGGATGGTCTCCAGGGCCGCCCGCTGGCGCTCGGCCTCGTCCTTGAGGCGATCGATGAGCTCCTGCTTGAGGGCCAGCGCGGCCTCGGCCGCTCGCAGCTGCTCCTGCGTCACCTGGACAGGGGGACAGGGACACCTGTGACACCTGTGACATCACCTGTGACATCACCTGTGACACCCCAAAATCCCCCCACTGCACCCCCAGCGCGGCCTCGGCCGCTCGCAGCTGCTCCTGCGTCACCTGGACAGGGGGGACAGGGACACCTGTGACATCACCTGTGACATCACCTGTGACACCTGAGAGAGCACCTGTGACATCACCTGTGACACCTATGTCACCTGTGAGAGCACCTGTGAAACCTGTGTCACCCCAAAAATCACCCCACTGCACCCCCAGCGCGGCCTCGGCCGCACGGAGCTGCTCCTGCGTCACCTGGGGGGGGACAGGGACACCTGTGACACCTGAGAGAGCACCTGTGACATCACCTGTGACATCACCTGTGATGTCACCTGTGTCACCCCAAAAATCGCCCCACTGCACCCCCAGCGCGGCCTCGGCCGCTCGCAGCTGCTCCTGCGTCACCTGGATGGGGGACAGGGACACCTGTGACACCTGTGACACCTGAGAGAGCACCTGTGACACCTGGATGGGGGGGACAAGGACACCTGAGACACCTGTGACACCATCTTTGCCATCACCTGTGACGGTGCCTGTGTCACCTGGGGGTCACCTGTGTCACCCCCAGCCCCCCACCTGCACGCTCCTGTGTCACCTGGGGCACTACAGTGACACCTGGGGGGCACCTGTGTCACGCATGGCCCCCAACTTACATGCTCCTGTGTCACCTGGAGGTGACAATGACACCTGGGGCTCACCTGGGGGACACCTGTGTCACCCCTCCTGTGTCACCTGGGGCACTGCAGTGACACCTGGGGGTCACCTGAGACATCACCTGTGTCACCTGGGGGACACCTGTTTTACCTGGGTGTCACCTGGGGGTCACCTGTGTCACCCCCAGCCCCCCACCTGCACGCTCCTGTGTCACCCGGGGCACTGCAGTGACACCTGGGGGTCACCTGAGACATCACCTGCGTCACCTGGGGGACACCTGTTTTACCTGGGTGTCACCTGGGGGTCACCTGTGTCACCCCCAGCCCCCCCCTGCACGCTCCTGTGTCACCTGGGGCACTACAGTGACACCTGGGGGGCACCTGTGACATCACCTGTGTCACCTGGGGGTCACCTGTGTCACTTGGGGGACACCTGTGCCACCCCTCCTGTGTCACCCGGGGCACTGCAGTGACACCTGGGGGGCACCTGTGTCACCTGGGGACTCACCTGAGGGCACCTGAGTCACTCAAGGGGTCACAGGGACATTCCAGGTGTCCCCAAGAGGGAATGGAACAGGGACAAGGCAGAGCTCTGGGGTCCCCAGCTGTGTCCCCAGGTGTGCCCAGGTGTGTCCCCAGGTGTGTCCAGGTGTCCCCAGCTGTTCCCAGCTGTCCCCAGGTGTGTCCAGGTGTCCCCAGATGTCCCCAGCTGTCCCTGTCCCTCACCTGGCTCCGTTTGTCCCCCTCCAGGCTGGCCTTGATGTGGGCGTCGTACTCCTGGAACAGGTGATGGTACGCGGCCTGCAGCTGCACCAGCTTCCGCCTGAAGGGGACATTGGGGACATTGGGGACATCAATGGGGACAGTGGGGACATTGGGAACATGGGAGATATCAGGGACATTGGGGACATTGGGGGGACATTGGGGACACTGGGGACAGGCGCACTGCAGCTGCACCAGCTTCCGCCTGAAAGGGACAGTGATTGGGGACATTGAGGGGACATCGGGGACATTGGGGACAGTGGGGATATGGGAGATATCAGGGACATTGGGGACAGTGATTGGGGACATTGAGGGGACATTGGGGACAGGTGGCCTGCAGCTGCACCAGCTTCCTCCTGGGGACAGTGACTAGGGACACTCAGGACAGTGGGGACATGGGGACATCGGGGACAATGGGGACACAGGGACATTGGAAGCTTTGGGGACATTGAAGACATTGGGGACAATGGGGACATGAGGACACTGGGGAGATTGAGGGGACACTGGGGACAATAGGGACACTGGGGACAGTGGGGACACTGAGGGGACACTGGGGACATTGACTGGGGACATTGAGGGGGCATTGGGGACAGGGTTTGGAGACATCGATTGGGGACATCATCGGGGACAGGTGGCTTCTGCCTTGGGGACACTGGGGACATTGCGAGTGCCACTGCCTCCCCCTCACAGGGACAGATGGCCTTGAGTGCCACCAGCTCCCACTGGGACACTGGGGACAGTGAGGGGACACTGGGGACACCAATGGGTGTCCCCGGGTGCCACCCCCGCCCATGTCCCTGTTATCACTCACTCCCCCCGGTGTCCCCAATGTCCCCATTGTCACTCACTCCCCCCCCCCCCCGGTGTCCCCATTGTCCCCATGTCCCTGTTGTTGTCACTCACTCCCCCCAGTGTCCCCATTGTTGTCACTCACCCCTCCCCCCCGGTGTCCCTATTGTCCCCATGTCCCCGTTGTTGTCACTCACTTCCCCCATTGTCCCCATTGTCACTCACCCCCTCGGTGTCCCCATTGTCCCCATGTCCCCGTTGTCCCCACTCACTTCTCCTCGGTGGCCCCATTGTCCCCATGTCCCCATTGTCCCCATGTCCCTGTTGTTGTCACTCACCCCCCCCAGTGTCCCCATTGTCACTCACCCCCCTGGTGTCCCCATTGTCCCCAATGTCCCCATTGTCCCTATGTCCCCGTTGTTGTCACTCACCCCCTCGGTGTCCCCATTGTCCCCATGTCCCCATTGTCACTCCCCCCATTGTCCCCATGTCCCCATTGTCCCCACTCACTTCTCCTCGGTGGCCCCATTGTCCCCATGGTCACTCACCCCCCTGGTGTCCCCATTGTCCCCATGTCCCCACTCCCCCCGGTGTCCCCATTGTCCCCATTGTCCCCACTCCCCCCGGTGTCCCCATTGTCCCCATGTCCCCACTCCCCCCGGTGTCCCCATTGTCCCCATTGTCCCCATGTCCCCACTCACTTCTCCTCGGTGGCCCCATTGTCCCCATGGTCACTCACCCCCCTGGTGTCCCCATTGTCCCCATGTCCCCACTCCCCCTGGTGTCCCCATTGTCCCCATGTCCCCATTGTCATTCACTCCCCCCGGTGTCCCCATTGTCCCCATGTCCCCACTCACTTCTCCTCGGTGGCCCCGCGCCGCTCCACCCTCAGGGCGGTTTCCAGGTTGGTCACCTGGAGCCGGAGCTGGTCCAGCTGCACCTGATGGGCCTGGGCCGCCTCCTCCAGCTGCTGGCACCGCTCGGCGTCACCGCGGGCCCTGCGGCACCAAAGGGACCCCACACTGTCACCCTGTGTCACCCTGTGTCACCCACTGTCACCCACTGTCACCCACTGTCACCCTGGGCCGCCTCCTCCAGCTGCTGGCACCGCTCGGCGTCACCGCGGGCCCTGCGGCACCAAAGGGACACCACACTGTCACCCTGTGTCACCCTGTGTCACCCATTGTCACCCTGTGTCACCCACTGTCACCCTGTGTCACCCTGTGTCACCCATTGTCACCCTGTGTCACCCACTGTCACCCTGGGCCGCCTCCTCCAGCTGCTGGCACCGCTCGGCGTCACCGCGGGCCCTGCGGCACCAAAGGGACCCCACACTGTCACCCTGTGTCACCCTGTGTCACCCACTGTCACCCTGTGCCACCCACTGTCACCCATTGTCACCCTGTGTCACCCACTGTCACCCTGGGCCGCCTCCTCCAGCTGCTGGCACCGCTCGGCGTCACCGCGGGCCCTGCGGCACCAAAGGGACCCCACACTGTCACCCTGTGTCACCCTGTGTCACCCATTGTCACCCTGTGTCACCCACTGTCACCCTGGGCCGCCTCCTCCAGCTGCTGGCACCGCTCGGCGTCACCGCGGGCCCTGCGGCACCAAAGGGACCCCACATTGTCACCGTGTGTCACCCTGTGTCACCCACTGTCACCCATTGTCACCCACTGTCACCCACTGTCACCCTGTGCCACCCACTGTCACCCACTGTCACCCTGTGTCACCCACTGTCACCCATTGTCACCCTGTGTCACCCACTGTCACCCACTGTCACCCTGTGTCACCCATTGTCACCCTGTGTCACCCACTGTCACCCACTGTCACCCACTGTCACCCTGGGCCGCCTCCTCCAGCTGCTGGCACCGCTCGGCGTCACCGCGGGCCCTGCGACACCAAAGGGACCCCACACTGTCACCCACTGTCACCCACTGTCACCCACTGTCACCCTGTGCCACCCACTGTCACCCACTGTCACCCATTGTCACCCTGTGCCACCTCATTGTCACCCATTGTCACTCTGTGCCACCTCCTCCAGCTGCTGGCACCTCTCCGTGTCCCCACGGGCCCAGGGGCACCCCATTGTCACCCATTGTCACCCATTGTCACTCATTGTCACCCTGTGCCACCCTGGGCCACCTCTTCCAGCTGCTGGCGCTGCTTGGCGTCACCACGGGCCCTGGGACACAGGGGCACCCCATTGTCACCCACTGTCACCCATTGTCACCCACTGTCACTCAGTGCCACCCCACTGTCACCTCCTCAAGCTGGTGGCACCGCCAGCATCCCCACGGGCCCTGCGTGTCACCCAGTGCCACCCAACGTCCCCTCCCTGAGCCGGTGGCCCCGCTCAGCGTCCCTCAAACCCTGTGACACCTCGGCGTCACCGATGTCACCTGCGCAGGTGCCGCTCCTACCTGTGCTCCAGGTGCTCCTGCTCCGCCCGGCTCTGCAGCGCTGTCCCCTCCCCTTGGGGACAGTCCCTGACCCCCCGTGTCCCCCCAGGTGTCCCCGGGTGTCCCTCTGTCCCTCCATGTCCCCTCACCTGTGCCCCAGGTGTCCCCCCAGGTGTCCCCGTGTCTCCCCTAGATGTCCCCAGGTGTCCCCACCTGTGCTCTAGGTGTCCCCCCCAGGTGTCTCCCTGTCCCCCCAGCTGTCCCCAGGCATTCCTGTGTCACCCCCAGGTGTCTCCATGTCCCCCCACCTGTGCTCCAGGTGTCTCCCTGGGTGTCCCCAGGTGTCCCCTCCATGTCCCCAAGGTGTCCCCACCTGCGCTCCAGGTGTCCCCAGGCATTCCTGTGTCACCCTCAAGGTGTCCCCCCATGTTCCCCCCCAGGTGTCCCCAATGTCCCCACCTGCGCTCCAGGTGCTCTCTCTCTGCCCGGCTCTGCAGTGGTGTCCCCATGTCCCCAATGTCCCCAGGTGTCCCCAATGTCCCCAATGTCCCCACGTCCCCAATGTCCCCAGGTGTCCCCAATGTCCCCAATGTCCCCAATGTCCCCATGTCCCCAATGTCCCCAGGTGTCCCCAATGTCCCCAATGTCCCCACGTCCCCAATGTCCCCAGGTGTCCCCAATGTCCCCAATGTCCCCAATTTCCCCAATGTCCCCATGTCCCCCAGGTGTCCCCAATGTCCCCATGTCCCCACCTGCGCTCCAGGTGCTCTCTCTCTGCCCGGCTCCTCTCCAGGCGGTTTTGGCTCTCCCGGAGCTCCCCCAGCAGCGACGTCACCTGGGCCTGGACCTGGGCCTTGTCCTGCTGGGGACAGGGACGGGGACACTGTCACCCCCTGGGGACAGGGACGGGGACACTGTCACCCCCTGGGGACGGGGACACTGTCACCCCCTGGGGACGGGGACAGGGACACTGTCACCCCCTGGGGACAGGGACACTGTCACCCCCTGGGGACGGGGACAGGGACACTGTCACCCCCTGGGGACAGGGACACTGTCACCCCCTGGGGACGGGGACACTGTCACCCCCTGGGGACGGGGACAGGGACACTGTCACCCCCTGGGGACGGGGACACTGTCACCCCCTGGGGACAGGGACGGGGACACTGTCACCCCCTGGGGACGGGGACACTGTCACCCCCTGGGAACAGGGACGGGGACACTGTCACTCCTGTGTCACCCCTGTGTCACCCCTGTGTCACCTGGGGACAGGAACACGGACACTGTCACACCCTGGGGACAGGGACACTGTCACCCCTGTGTCACCTGGGCCTGGACCTGGGCCTTGTCCTGCTGGGGACAGGGACAGGGACAGGGACACTGTCCCCCCTGTGTCACCCCTGTGTCACCTGGGAACAGGAACAGGGACACTGTCCCCCCTGTGTCACCTGGGGACAAGGACACTGTCACCCCCTGTGTGTCCCCAGGGCTGTCCCCAGTGTCCCCAGGTGTCCCCAGAACCTCCAGCTGTCCCCATGTCCCCAGGACTGTCCCCATGTCCCCAGTGTCCCCGGTACCCAGGGCTGTCCCCAGTGTCCCCGTGTCCCCAGTGTCCCCATGTCCCCATGTCCCCCAGTGTCCCTGGTACCTCCAGCTGTCCCCATGTCCCCCTATGTCCCCATGTCCCCTGGGTCCCTCCAGCTGCCCCCAGTGTCCCCAGTGTCCCCAGTGTCCCTGGTACCTCCAGCTGTCCCCATGTCCCCCTGGGTACCTCCAGCTGTCCCCAGGGCTGTCCCCAGTGTCCCCGGTACCTCCAGCTGTCCCCATGTCCCCATGTCCCCAGGGCTGTCCCCAGTGTCCCCATGTCCCCAGGGCTGTCCCCATGTCCCCATGTCCCCGGTACCTCCAGCTGTCCCCATGTCCCCAGGGCTGTCCCCACGTCCCCAGGGCTGTCCCCATGTCCCCAGTGTCCCCATGTCCCCAGGGCTGTCCCCATGTCCCCGGTACCTCCAGCTGTCGGCGCAGTCCCTGCAGCTGCAGCTCGGCCGCGCGGGAAACGTCCTGAGCGCGGAGCTCGGCCACGGCCACGCGGGAGCGCAGGGACGCCAGCCTGGGGACAGGGACACCCGTGTCACCCGTGTCACCAAGGGTCATTGGTGGCACCAAACCCTGCCCAACGCCACCCGCAGTGCCACCAGCCTGGGGACAGGGACACCCGTGTCACCCGTGTCACCAATGGCACCAAACCCACTCACAGGGCCACCGGCCTGGGGACAGGGACACCCGTGTCACCCGTGTCACCAAATGGCACCAAACCCACCCACAGGGCCACCGGCCTGGGGACAGGGACACCGGTGTCACCAATGGCACCAAACCCTGCCCAACGCCACCCATAGGGCCACCAGCCTGGGGACAGGGACACCCGTGTCACCAGGGCTCATTGGTGTCACCAAACCCACCCCATGCAGGAGCACAATGCCACCAGCCTGTCCTCAGGTGTCCCCAGACCGTCCCCAATGTCCCCAACACCCTCAATGCCCTCAGGTGTCCCCAATGTCCCCAGACTGTCCCCAGACTGTCCCCATCGTCCCCCAAGATGCCCAGTGTCCCCAATGCCCCCACTGTCCCCAATGTCCCCAATCCACCGCTGACCCCAATGTCCCCAGTGTCCCCATTCCCTCCAATGTTCCCAATGTCCCCAATGTCCCCATTCCCCCCACTGTCCCCATTGTCCCCAGGTATCCTCAGCCCCCCAACGTCCCCAAATGTCCCCAATCCACCACTGACCCCAATGTCCCCAGTGTCCCCATTCCCTCCAAGGTCCCCATTGTCCCCCAATGTTCCCAATGTCCCCGATATCCCCAATGTCCCCAACGGGGACACTGTCCCCAACCCCCCAATGTCCCCAATCTCCCATTGACCCCAACACCCCCAGGTGTCCCCAATGTCCCCACTGTCCCCATTGTCCCCATTGTCCCCAGGTATCCTCAGCCCCCCAATGTCCCCAGTTCTTCAATGTCCTCAGGTGTCGCCAATGTCCCCAACGTACCCAATGTCCCCAGTGTTCCCCCAATGTCCCTGATGACCCCAGTGTCCCCAATGTCCCCAATGTCCTCAGTATTCTCAGACTGTCCCCAACGTTCCCAATGCCCGCAATCCCCCAATCCCCCCTTGTCCCCAATGTCCCCAACATCCCCAAGTGTCCCCAGTGTTCCTAGGTGTCCCCTGGTGTCCCCATTGTCCCCATTCCCTCCAATGTCCCCAAAGTCCTCGAAGTCCCCAATGTCCCCAAGTGTCCCCCCAATGCCCCACTGACCCCAGTGTCTCCATTCCCCCTTTGACCCCAACGTCCCCAACGTCCCCAATCCCCCCACTGACCCCATTGTCCCCAATATCCCCAATGTCCCCAGGTGTCCCCAACGTCCCCAATCCCCCCACTGACCCCATTGTCCCCAACACGCCCAATGTCCCCAGGTGTCCCCAATGTCCCCAATCCCCCCACTGACCCCATTGTCCCCAATATCCCCAATGTCCCCAGGTGTCCCCAATGTCCCCAATCCCCCCACTGACCCCATTGTCCCCAATATCCCCAATGTCCCCACTGTCCTCAATCCCCCAATGTCCCCAGGTGTCCCCAACGTCCCCACTGACCCCATTGTCCCCAATATCCCCAAGTGTCCCCAATGTCCCCAAGTGTCTCCAGTGTCCCCATTGTCCTCCAGTGTCCCCAATATCCCCAAGTGTCCCCAATGTCCCCAAGTGTCTCCAGTGTCCCCATTGTCCTCCAGTGTCCCCCAGTGTCCCCATTGTCCCCCAGTGTCCCCAATGTCCCCAAGTGTCTCCAGTATCCCCATTGTCCCCCAGTGTCCCCAGTGTCCCCAGTGTCCCCAACTCACTCAGCCTCAGCCTCTGCCAGGCGCTGCCTCAGCTGCTCCTCGGAGCTGGGGGGACACGAGGGGGGTCAGGAGGGGCTTGGGGACATCGGGGACTCCCCAAGAGGGACAGGGGGGACATCGGGGACTCCCCAGGGGGACAGGGGGGACATCGGGGACTCCCCAAGAGGGACAGGGGGGACATCGGGGACTCCCCAGGGGGACAGGGGGACATCGGGGAGTCCCCAGGGGGACAGGGGGGACATCGGGGACTCCCCAGGGGGACAGGGGGGACATCGGGGACTCCCCAAGAGGGACAGGGGGGACAGGGGGGACAGGGGGGACCGGGGGGACAGGGGGGACAGGGGGGACCGGGGGGACAGGGGGGACAGGGGGGACAGGGGGGACATCGGGGACTCCCCAGGGGGACAGGGGGGACAGGGGGGACAGGGGGGACCGGGGGGACAGGGGGGACCGGGGGGACAGGGGGGACAGGGGGGACAGGGGGGACATCGGGGACTCCCCAGGGGGACAGGGGGGACAGGGGGGACCGGGGGCTCACCTGGGCTCTGGGGGGGCCCCGGGGGGGGCCTGGGGGGGCTCCGGGACAGCGGGGACATCGTCCAGGGGAGGGGACACCGACAGGGGCTGTGGGGACAGGGGGGACATTGGGGACATCAGGGGGACACTGGAGACATCGTCCAGGGGAGGGGACACCGACAGGGGCTGTGGGGACAGTGGGGACATCAGGAGGACACTGAGGGGGGGACAGTGGGGACATCAATGGGACACTGGGGACATCGTCCAAGGGAGGGGACACCGAGAGGGGGGGGCTGTGGGGACACTGGGGACATCAGGGGGACGCTGAGGACATTGGGGACACTCCAGGGGGACATTGGGGGACATTGGGGACATCGTTCAAGGAAGGGGACACCAACAGGGGGGCTGTGGGGACACTGGGGACATCAGGGGGACATCGGGGACAACCTCAAAGGAGGGGGACACTGAGTTGGGGGGCGCCTTGGGGGGCTGTGGGGACATTGGGGACATCAAGGGGACACTGGGAACATCAAGGGGACATCAGAGGGACATTGAGGGACATCAGGGGGACACTGAGGGACATTGGGGGTTCCCCAGGGGGACACTGGGGACACTCGAGGGGGACATAAGGGAGATCTGGAGGATGTTGGGGGACATCAAGGGGACATTGAGGGACATTGTCCAAGGGAGGGGACACCGAGAGGGGGGGCAGTGGGGACACTGGGGACATCAGGGGGACACTGGGGACAGAGAAGGGACACTGGGAGGAGCGGGGAGGACATTGGGGGACACACTGGGGACAAGTGGGAGCAGTGGGAGGACAGGGGGGGGACACAGTGGTGGGACAGAGGGGACACAGGGGGGACATGGGGGGGACACACCGACCTTGGTGCTGGTGTCAGGGGTGCTCCTGCAGCTGTCCCCAGTGTCCCTGAGGGTGTCCCTGATGTCCCCAGGGCTGTCCTTGGTGCCCTCACGGGTGTCCCTGGTGTCCTCAAGGCTGCTCCCGGTGTCCCCGGGGCCGTTTTTGGTGTCCCCGAGGGTGTTGTGGGTGTCCCCAGGGCCGCTCTTGGTGTCCCCAGGGCTGGCTTTGGTGTCCCCAGCGGTGATGCTGATGTCCCCAAGGGTGTCCTTGGTGCCCTCAGCGGCGTCCCTGATGTCCCTGCGGGCGTCCTTGGCGTCCCCAAGGGTGTCCTTGGTGTCCCCAGCGGCGTCCCTGATGTCCTCGGAGGTGTCCTTGGTGTCCCTGGAGCCGCCCTTGCCGTCCCCAGGCGCGTCCCTGCCGTCCCCAGCGCCGTCCCCGCTGTCCCCGCGCTGTCCCCGCAGGTGCAGCACCAGCTGCCGGGCCTGGCCCCAGCGGCCGCGCAGCAGCTCCCGCTCCCCCCGGCGCTGCAGCTGCAGCCGGCGCAGCTCGTCCAGGCGCTGCCGCAGGGACTGCGTGCAGTGGCACAGGGCACCTGGGGACATGGGGACATCATTGGGGACATTGGGGACATCATTGGGGACAGTTATAGCTCGTCCAGGTGCTGCCGCAGGGACTGCGTGCAGTGGCACAGGGCACCTGGGGACACAAAGGGACATGGGGGACATCATTGGGGACATCATTGGGGACATCATCAGGGACTGCGTGCAGTGGCACAGGGCACCTGGGGACATGGGGACATCATTGGGGACATTGGGGACATCATTGGGGACAGTTATAGCTCGTCCAGGCGCTGCCGCAGGGACTGCGTGCAGTGGCACAGGGCACCTGGGGACACAAAGGGACATTGGGGACAGCATTGGGGACAGCCACAGCTCGTCCAGGCGCTGCCGCAGGGACTGCGTGCAGTGGCACAGGGCACCTGGGGACACAAAGGGACATTGGGGACACTGGGGACAGTGTGCAGTGACAAGGGCACCTGGGGACAGCAGGGTACAGCACTGGGGACATCGGGGACGCAGCACTCCTGGGGACAGCAGCAGGGACATTGGGGACATTGGGACTCTGGACACTGTGGGGACACTGTGACATTGAAAACATGGGGACACCGTGGGGACACTGAGGTGACATCGGGGATGTCAGGGAAACGGGGGACACGGAGACAACACTGGGGACCTTGGGGACATTGTGGGGGAGGAGACACCAGGGACACTGGGGGGACATTGGGGACATTGGGGACATTTGGGACACTGGTGACATTAATGGGGACACAGGGGACACTCCTGGGGACACCCGCAGTGCCCTCCCAGTCTCCCCCAGTTTGTTCCCAGTCCCTCCCAGTGCTCCCAGTTTGGTTTCAGGCTGTTCCCAGCCCCTCCCAGTTCATTCCCAGTCCCCCCCAGTTTGTTTTCAATCCCCTCCCATTCCCTCCCAGTTTGATCCCAGTGCCCCCCAGTCCCTCCCAGTTCCCCCAGTCTGATCCCAGTACCCCTCAATCCCCTCCCAGTCTATCCCAGTCCCTCCCAGTTTGATCCCAGTGCCCCCAGTCTGATCCCAGTTCCCTCCCAGTCCGACCCCAGTCGCTCCCAATCCGCCCAATCCCCTCTCTGTCCCCCCCAATCCCATCCCAGTCCCTCCCAGTTCCATCCCAGCGCCCCCAGTTTGATCCCAGTTCCATCCCAGTCCCCCCCAGTTTGATCCCACCGCCCCCAGTTTGATCCCAGTCCCTCCCAGTTCGATCCCAGTCCCTCCCAGTCCCCCGCAGTGCCCCCGGTTCCCCGCTCTCACTCCTCAGCTCGCGGTTCTCCGCCCGCAGCCGCTGCAGCGCCTCCGCCAGCGCCGGCTCCGCCTCGGGCCCCGGCTGCACCATCTCTGCGGGCCGCCGCCAGCGCCCGCCGCTCATGGGCGGCTCCGGGGCCGAGCTCGGGCGGGTTTGGGCCCGGTTCGGGGATTTTGGGCCCAACTCGGGGATTTTTGGGATCCCGGCGCCGCCGCCGCTTCCTGCTTCCGCCGGAAACGCGTGACGTCACCGCGCCCCGCCGCCACTTCCGCCTCGGTAAATGTCATGGCGGCGCCATAGCAACGCCGAGAGGCGGAGAGCGCTGATTGGTTACGCCTCCGTGTGTAGCTCCTCCCGCGCTCGGCGGTGATTGGTTAAGGAGGGAAGAAGCTCGGCGGTGACTGGTTGGTGAGATAGAGGCTCGGCGATGACTGGTGGAAAAAGGGTGAGGGCGTGGCGGTGGGCGTGGCCTCTGTGAGGGGATGGGGAGCCGCGCGAGCGTGGGGGAGGCGGCGCGAGAGCGGCCGGAGCGGGAAGGTGCGGTGGGACCGGGAAGTGATGAGGAAATTTGGGGAAATTTAAAGAAATTCGGGGAAATTCGGGGAGATTCCGGAGGACGTGAGGGGATCTGGGCTCTAAAATGGCCCGGGGGGTCCATGAGGGCCTGGGGAGCAGCGTCAGGAGGGAGCTGAGGGGGAATGTGGGGGGTTTGAGGCGGAAATGGGGGAGGTTTGAGGGGAATTTCGTGGGTTCGAGGGGAATTTGGGGAAAATTTGGGGGCAATCTGGGAGATTTGGGAAATTTAGGGGGGATTTGGGGGGAATTTCGGGATTTGGGGGGGAATTTAAGGATTTGAGGGGAATTTGAGGGGAAAACTGGGGGGAACCTGGGAGATTTGAGGGGATTTGGGGGAAATTTGAGGAGGATTTGAAGGGAATTTTGGGGGATTTGGGGTCAGTGAAGGCGGAAATTGGGAGCTTGGGAGTGTCCGGGGCTCCGTGAGGGGTTGAGGGTCAATTGATGGGGGGGTGAAGGCGGAAATTGGGAAAATTTGGGGAGATTTGAGGGGAATTGGGGGCTCATGAGGGCCTGGGGGGTTTTGGGGGGATGGGGAGGGGGTTCTGAGGGATTTGGGGGGATTTGGGGGGTCCTGGGGGGGAATTGGGGCGGATTTGGGGGGACAATGGGGGGAGGGCGTGTCCTGCCCCACCCCGGCCACGCCCCAATGTCCCCCCAAATCCCGCCCCCAAATCTCAAATCCCACCCCAAAATTCCGCCCCAAAATCCTCGATCCCAGCCCCGAATCCCAAATCCCACCCCAAAATCCCCGATTCTACCCCCAAATCCCAACCCCCGAATCCCCGATCCCGGCCCCAAATCCCAAATCCCTCCCCCAGATCTCAAATCGCACCCCAAATTCCCCGATCCGAACCCCAAATCCCAAATTCCCCTCCTCCAAATCCCAAATCCCCCCCCCAAATCCCAGCCCCAAAATCCCAAATCCCACCCCAAAATCCCAAATTCTCCCCCCAAATCCCAACCCCGAATCCCGATCCCGGCCCCAAATCCCACCCCCAACATCCCAAATCCCGCCCCCAACATCCCAAATCCCGCCCCCAAAATCCCAAATTCCGCCCCCAAAATCCCCGATCCTGCCCCCAAATCCCAACCCCAAAACCCAAATCCCCCCCAGATCCCAAATCCCAACCCCAAAATCCCAAATGCCGACCCCAAATCCCGGATCCTGCCCCACCCAACCTCACCCCAAGTGCCAACCCTGCCCCAAAACCTCAAATCCCGCCCCACAAGTGCCAGCCCTGCCCCCCAAATGCCCACCCCTCCCTCCCGGTGCCCGTTCCTGCCCCACAACTCCTCCAATCCTGCCCTGGGGTGCCCGATCCGAACCCCAAATCCCAAATCCCCAATTTTACCCCACCCCAAAACCCCAAAAACCTGCCCCAAAACCTCAAGTGCCGCCCCCCAAGTGCCCGATCCGAACCCCAAATCCCAAATCCCGCCCCCCAAGTGCCCAAACCCGCCCCCCAAGTACCCGCCCTGCCCCACAAGTGCCCGAACCGGCCCCCCAAGTGCCAGCCCTGCCCCACAAGTGCCCGCCCTGACCCCCGAGTACCCGAACCGGCCCCCCAAGTAACCAAATCCCGCCCCCCAAGTGCCCGAACCGGCCCCCCAAGTGCCCGCCCTGCCCCAGAACCCCTCCAATCCTGCCCTGGGGTGCCCACCCCTGCCCCCCAAGTGCCCGAACCGGCCCCCAAGTGCCCAAACCCGCCCCCCAAGGGCCAGCCCTGCCCCCCAAGTGCCCGAACCTGCCCCCCAAATGCCAGCCCTGCCCCCCAAATGCCTAAACCCGCCCCCCAAGTGCCAGCCCTGCCCCCTAAGTACCCGAACCGGTCCCCCAATTCCCGGCCCGCCCTGCCCGCCAAGTGCCCGAACCGGCCCCCCAAGTACCCGAATCCTGCCCGGGGTGCCCGAACCGGCCCCCCAAGTGCCGGCCCTGCCCCCCAATTCCCCAGGAGCGATGCCGGGCCCCGGGGAGGAGGCGGCGGCGGCGGCCGGGGCGCAGCTGAGCCGCTCGCAGGTGTGCGGGATGCTGCGGCAGGAGCTGAGCCGGGACGGGGCCTTCCTGCAGGGCCACCCGCACGTGCTCGTCATCCTCGGCGCCTCCGTGAGTGCGGACGGGCCGGGGACGCGAGTGGGGGGGAAATAAAGGGGGCTGGGGGGGGGATAAAAGGGGGTTGGGGGCGGGAATTTGGGGGTTGGGGGGCAAATAAAGGGGGGTGGGGGGCGGGAGTTTGGGGTTTGGGGGGAAAATTTGGGGTTTGGGGGGGAATAAAGGGGATTGGGGGGGAATAAAGGGGGTTGGGGGCAGAAATTGGGGATTTGTGAGGGGGTTTGGAGCAGAAATTGGGGGTTTGGGGGGGAAATGAAGGGGGGTTGGGGGCAGAAATTTGGGGGTTGGGGGGGAATAAAGGGGTTTGGGGGGGGATAAAGGGGGGTTGGGGCGGGAATTTGGGGTTTTGGGGGGAAATAAAGGGCTTTGGGGGCAGGAATTTGGGGTTTGGGGGGCAAATGAAGGGGGTTGGGGGGCAAATGAAGGGGATTGAGGGCAGGAATTTGAGGTTTGGGGGGCAAATAAAGGGGGTTGGGAGGAAATAAAGGGGGTTGGGGGCAGGAATTTGGGGTTTGGGGGCAGGAATTTGGGGTTTGGGGGCAGGAATTTGGGGTTTGGGGGGGAAATGAAGGGGGTTGAGGGGGAAATTTGGGGTTTGTGGGAGAATAAAGGGGGTTGGGGGCGGGAGTTTGGGGGTTGTGAGGGGGTTTGGAGCAGAAATAAAGGGGGTTGGGGGGGATAAAGGGGTTTGGGGGGTGGGAGTTTGGGGTTTGGGGGCGGCAGTTTGGGGGTTGGGGGGCAAATAAAGGGAGTTGGGGGCGGGAGTTTGGGGTTTGAGGGGGAAATAA